GGATGGCTATTACGTCCGTGGGTATCTGAAGATCTGGCCCGTCGTCCGAGCGTGCGTTTACTACCAAATTTGGATTCAACACGCCCATCGCACGCGAGGCGACATCCGGATACACCACCAAGGCTGTACGGAGATCGCACGTTCCGTCCCGACCTGCCACCCATGACTCCATTAGAAACAGCAATTCACGCCGCCAGCCTCATCAAGATGCACTTGACGATTCTCCTCCGGCATTTACCTCTTAAGAAGGTCTACACAAAAGTCTTCAACGTCCTTCGAGCGCTTTCCGACGATGCATGGTTGAAGGCGCATCTCGTTCCGCCGGTGGTCAATACGTAACCGAAGTTCTGCGCCTTCCATGGCCGCACCGAATGAACCAACCACCTTAAGAGCCCATTCCAAACCTATTTATCTGGTACGAGGAAATTAGTTAGTTCAACAGAGCCTTTGCTCGACAATAAGGTTAAAGAAACTCATTTAATCATGACAGCACACGAATGAGCAACTTTTCGCTCGTTCGTTCAAGCACACATGTTGCCCGCAAGAGTGAGCTTGCATCCAGCGACATGGAATGGAATGCTCGTCGCATGAAAACTAGTGAAACTTGAGATTCCATCCCAATCTGGAGCGAATTGGCACGTACCGTTCTAGAATATCGATGTTGCGTGGGTGGATGAAGTGGACCCCCGTAGGTACAGAGCTCTCCAGACGTCCTTGCCATCCGCCCACCCTAATGAAACACAATACGATGCCTAGCGCAACTAGAAGCGCAGTATTGTCGAGCCTCGCTTCTCCAGGTCACTGCTACGACTTAGCGGCATGGATACATATATCAACTGCACATGCGTTGGTGCAAGGAAAATGAATCTGTTGGCCATGGCCCCGTACAATTCTTGAAGGTTCAAGAATACATGGTTTCCGTTCGTGCAGGCCCTCCTGTCGCCTCTCTGCACTGCGAGTTCTACGTTCGATCGTCCGATGTGCAAGTGCCACTTGTCTGGTTTTGGCACATGCTGAGTAGAACAAACTTCACTTGATCACGTAGGACCTCACCCATGAGCTTTCAACGTTGACGAGAAAGAACAAAGTGGCTAAAATGCCACGTCGATGAAATCCACTCCGCCACCCATGCAAGATAATTTGGTCCATAGGACGTCCGTTCACCAATAGCCCCACTGGTGGGGTAGGGTGGAAAAGCGCCGGGAGCAGACGTCACAACCAGCCGTTGAAACGAAATCTTGATTCCGCCAACCTTGTCCAATTGACAAGGTTACCCCTGCGTTCGGGTCCCCCATTGTGATTGGGGGCCAAGTGCTCCACGACGTACACTTGGATGTTAGTTGTCGAGCTGTGATCTCAAAAAGTGCCCCCATGCCGTCATGTACTTGGGGTGTTGGTATGACGCGCATGATCTCGCAAAAACAAGATGAGAGTTTGGCCATCCCTTCCGCAGTCTAAACGAGTGGCACTCGAAACGACATGTGTACACGGCGATCGATCCAAGCGCCAGTGACATGCCCGACGGTACAGTGCGCGAAATAATTATATTCGCACATGAAAATCTTGGTTTTGCGGAGAAGTCCACACAATTGCTTTGATCTGAACTTGCCCTACGTCGTAAAAGAGAGTTTGCAGTGTGGTATAAGTGCAAAATATCTAAACCTCTTAAAAGGGATAAAACTAGAAATCGCGGAATGTATTTCGCGAAGAATTTATATGCGCAATTCGCTAATGGGGGACTACCAAAACCTCCGTATACTATATTGCTACTGGTAGCAAATCCAATTTTTTCGAATATTAATATCGGTT